GGGAGGCAGCGCGCTGCCTTCTTGCATCAGCCTCGGGTCTCCTGACATTGCAAAAGGCTGCTTCGGCGATATTTGCCTTGGGTCCCAGCTCGGGTTCGTGCCGCCGTGTGGAGTTCAAAATGCCTAGCTGGAAAAACAAATAAGAGATCAAAGAGGACAAAATGGATCCAGAATTTCTTCCAGATTGGAAAAAAAAAATCAAAATATAGATCTCCTGCACCGAGATTACAAATCCAAGGATTTTTCTCTTCCTCTTCAGTCACTTTTACCTCATTGTCATTCTTGAGGAATTAGAAACCAACTCTTCCTCCTTTCCTTTTTTTTTAGAAAAAAGAAGGGCAGCTTTCTTTGCAAACCTGTCCTGTACATCTGTTTTCTAAAGAGTTAGGAGGGCTGTGTTGCCAAGAGATATTAAGGGGTTTAGACAGAGTGCCCACGTGAAAGTGTCTGTTCGCAAGGCAGGCATGGATTACGTTTTAAAGGTTTTAACAGGTTCGTTCTCTCCTGCCATTTCTGCTTGGCACTTGGAGAGAGCACAGGCCAGATCATCTCCCACAATCGTGAAAATAAACGTCTCTTGCAAACTAATCAGTTATTCACATTGTTTGTTCAGCACCGATGCTGGAAGGCAACTCCCCAATTAGGAGCCATTTCAGCTGTAACTGAAGTCATGCAAGCACTGCACGCTTTGTTTCTAGCCTGTTATATCTCTACTTTATCCAGTGACAGCCGCACACTAGGCTGTGCTCGGCTGTGCTCGATGGGAACTGAGGCGCACTCTCACTTGAGTGTGGCACAGAGCAGCTCCCTGCTGCCTTCCTGCCAGATTTGGCTGGTGGGACAATTGTTTCTGCTCTCCAGGAGTTTTTCCACCGTCACCCAGAATAGGAGTTTCTTTGCCTCCCAACTCCTCAGTAAAATTGTACAGTAGCATCTGTTCTCCACTTATAGTATGGGCAAGTCTGTATTGGTGTCCAGTGATAACACCCTTTAACCCTCCCCTTGTTCCTTTTCCCCTCCCCTTCCTCTTCCCCAGAAGAGGAAACGGCGGATCAGGTAGAGCCGAGATCTATCTGTCCTCATAAAAACCTTATGCTGCCTTTTCTCCTAGGCTGGAGGATAGTGCAGATGAGAAAACAATGTAGTGATGGAAAAAATGGTAGGGAAGGATTACAGGAGTTTAGGAGGAAGTGTTGCAGGGACAGACATGACGGATAGCTAGAGGTTCAGTACCTGGGTGCTGTGGGCTATGTAAGTGCTCAGGCAGATGGACGGTGAGATCTGCCCTTGGGTTCTGTCCTTATTTGTCCGTTGGTTGTCCGGGCACCGCAGTGATGGGAACGTTAGGAATACCAGCAGATCTCACATAGGCAGCTTGGTGATGACTCTGAGCATGGCAGGAGGCATGACTCTTCGCACAGGACTAGGGTTTGTGCTTTGATGATAGTATTTATCTGGCTGTCAGGCTGATCTAGCTAGCTAGCCAGGCACATAAGAGAGCATTAAATAAAAGCCCTGACAGTGTCTGAGTTGGGGAAGCAGGGTCCAGCATGTGTCAGGGAGCTTTCCTGGAAGTAAAGGAGAAGGGATGAAGGAATCACCGCGCTCCTCTGGTGAGGGTTCAGAGGGATGGCTCCTTACTGAGTTGGTTGTTATGGTTGCTCCTGCAGCAAGACTTAGATGGTGGGAAATTGTTTCACGGTCGTGTCTGGGCAGCACTGATGCCACAAGTGGTGGTGATAGCCTTTCCATGCAGGCTAGGGAAGGAAAGGCACTTTTGCAGTGCCACCCTCCCAGCTGATTGATTGTGCTGAGTGGTGTGCACAGTCCTCACACAGCATGGGATTGGAGAGGGTTGCATTGCTGTCCCCTTCCAGTCCTCCCTTTCCTAGAGAATGGGGGACAGGTGGTTATTCCCCATCTTCCTTTATCTGTGGGTCTTGCTCCAGCCTGGTGACAGGTCACTCCTCATGATGGTCTGGGAGCTCTTCCCCTCCTGCCCAGAACAGCAGAGGGACCTGGATATACTAGCTGTATTGCCATGGGGAAGAGGCAGTGATCAGACACCGAGGGAGGGAGAACACGCCTGTGACTAGACTGTTAATGATCACACACCCACCAGGCTGCCTGCCTTTGCTGTGCCTCTGCACCGCACCACCGTGGGGAGCCACCAGAACCTGCTTCCACAGCCCTTTGGCAGCTGGGACACAGCAGGTCACCTTCCCCAGAGCCGTTCCTGTGCTCTGAAGATGGCTGGAAAGAGGAGCACTCCTTTGGGAGCAGGGGAGAGGGATGTCTGAGGGGCTCACTGATTCCTGAGCAACCCCAAATCCATTCTCCTGTCTGTTCTGTCAGAGGTCCTTGGCTGTGCAGGCAGCTTTCAGGATTACTGACCTCAGTCTGCTTGTACAATGGAGAAGGAGCGAGTGAGTCCCATTCCCCCCCTCTCCTAAGCAGAAAACGCTGAGAATTTCTAGTGCCTAAGACGAAAAGTGCCTTAACTCCTGTCCCAGAGTCCCTCTCAAAGTGGATGGATTGTTTGTTCCAGTCCTAAACAGTTACAAAGCTCTTTTAATGAGCCTGCACAGATTAGGGGGAGGGGAAGGGAGAAAAAGAGTGCTGGTGGTGGTGGTGGTGAGGGGGGTGATGGTTAGAGAGGAATGACTTGATTAACCTTTTCTCTCCCTTCAGAGCAAAGCTTGCTTTGGACAGGGACGGGGGGAGAAGGGAGGCAGGGAAGGTACAGACATGTGGATGGTGTGAAGTGAATTTATTTGTTAGAGAAGGTTTTACCCCACAGAGGGAGGGATGTGCATTTGCTACAACCTGCAAAAGAGCACAGAAAGGAGCTTCCTCTGTCAGCCCCATTTCTGGGCTCATTTATCCTACTCTCAAGGCCAGGCCAGGGGTTGCTTCCACATTACTGTGAAATGCTGAAAATCTATTGGAAGGAAATTGTGTTACAGAACCATTGGGTAATGCCAAAAGCCAGCAGAGGAGAGCATGACCTTCAGGCTCCTACCGAAGGGCACAGTTGGCCTGCTTGTCCTGAGGAATGTTTTTGGTTCCCCATGTCTGATATTAGCAGACTGTTTTGAAGTGAGGCACAAGGCCCTGCCTCACCTGCTGTTCTAGTGGACGTGCTTTGAGGGCTCTAGGCACAGGTAAAAGACACTGCTGAAAGGGCAGAAAAATTACTTGGAATAGTGAGCAGAGAGCCTGTTACTGATAGTTCTGGGAAACCTTTCTAGTTTCTGCTGAGAGTTCCCCTGGGAAAGCTCAGAAGCTCTATGCCCACTTTGCACTGATCTTGTTTCCCATCTTTGGGGTCAGATCACATCCCAGGTCCAGGTGAGCACTGCGAGAGTGTTCTGGCTCCTGCTCCACTACATCAGGGGCAGGGTGAGGTGCTGGCTAGGCACAGGTGAGTAGTGAAAGCTTGTGTGTGGCTTGCTTCTGCTTCTCATCATTTGTGCAGCCTGTGTGCTTGCGCATGAGGAGGCGGTGGGCTTAGCAGCTGGCTGGGTAGTTTTGCATAGAGAATGGATGGGTAAAAATGACCCTCAAGGTGTCTCCAAACTGATTTTGCTTAGTCTGTCATGGTCATTTTGTGTGTGAACCAGAAATCTCTCTGTGAAAAGTCTTGGGGGCGTTGTGACTTGAATGAACTGACTTGGCTCGTGATCCTCTTCCTGTGCCATAGCAGATTGAGGCTTTCCTGCCCTTGATGCGGTTTTCTTTTTACCCAGAGATTGTCAGGCACTGAGTGGCTTTGGAAGGCCGCTGCAGCCTCCGCTGCCTCCATTTTGTTTGTGCTGTTGCAGTGACCTTCACACTTCAGGAATGAAACTGTTTCTAGGAACCTGCTTTTTAAAGTGTTGTCACAGCACTGAGACTGGGCACACAGCCCCCCTCCTCCCCAGAGAAGAAACAGATCCACACATGGGGCAGCTCAGGTCTGGGCTGCTGAGTTTTGCCCAGGTATAGAAAGACTTTGATTGAAATGAGAAACAAGTTCGGTCAGGGGGACCTTAGACAAAGGGAACTACACACAGACACAAAGGAATGTCTGGGAGAGGGGCTTCTAGCTGGCTCTCCTGCCCCCTCCTTTTAAAAGCTGACATTTTCGGCTGCTTGGATGGTGGTGCTGCCCTGTGCACAGGACTGCTTAGAAGACCATAGCTGGCAGATTCCTGTTGTGAGCTTGGGGTAGACTTGGCCTTAATTCAGTTCTGTCTTCAGCTGCAACATCAGAGGGCCTTTTTCTAAGCCTGAGCACAGCATATTGCTGACAAAGCAGTATTTTGTATGGACCCCTGTGCTTCTTATGGGCCTCTGCTGAAAGGCAGCAGGTTCTGGGGTGGATGGCATCACACAGGTGGCAACATAGCTCGGAGAAGTGAAGAAAGCTTGGCTTTTTCCATTTTGGTTCAGAACAGAACAGCAGGGGGAAGCTTGACTTGGTTGGAAAGTTACGTCAGAGCTAAAGCCCTCACGAAGAGCAGGAAGACTGGCGTTCTTGTTTCACCTGGAATTAAATGGACTTCCTTAGTAAAGTGGTGTAATATTTCTCCGTACCATTTTGGGGGTGGGTTACCTGTCACCACTCCTGCCTGCATCAGTGCTTTGGAAATGTCCTTAGTCCCAAAAGGCAGCAGGAATGACTGCAGAGCTTTTCGGTTTTGGCCCTGGGGAAGCTGTGGAGCGCAGGAATGGGATCCACGCAGGGGCTGGGGACTGGGACCAGTAGGTGAGGGCGAGCGTCGCCCTCGCTTCCATCAGAGAGGGAGAAAACCCGGGCGGTTTAGCGGCGTCCGTCGGCAAAGTGGTGCTGTCACAGTTAATCGCCCTGACACCCGGCCAGATGCCGACACCTCCGTGGCCACCACTGCCGGGTGACAGACATCTGTGACATTGAGAGGGGAGCGATGCCCTTCCGTGCCTGGCTGCCTTTCTCCCCTCTCTGCCCTCCCGGGCCAGATTCACCTTTACGGGGAGAAGCGATGCCCGGGTCCGTCGGTCGGTGTCGGCGGCAGCTGCAGGTCCCCCCGTTACTTCTCTCCGCCGGGCTCGCATTTGCTCCCGTTGTTTGCCCGCGGTCAATGACAGCAGCTCCCCGGGGACGCGCTTCTCCCTTTGGGGCGTCTCTCGGGCCCGGCACACCGCCTTGCCAGCCCCGTCTCCCGGCCCGGAGCCGTCCCGCCCCTGCCCCTCTCGGCTGCTCTGGGGGACGGGGGAACAAAAGGTCCCTCTGTGCCAGCCGGGGGCAGTGGCTTGGCCTCGGGGGCGCCCTCTCCCGCCGGGGCTCCCTCCGCCCCCTGCCCGGCGGGGCGACGGGACCGGCACCGCCGGGGACCCTACCCGGGACCGCCCGCGCCGCGGGACCGCGTCACGGTTCCGCGTTGTGACCGATTTTCTGTTGTCTTTGCAGTTGTCGAAGGCTGCGCCTGCCCTGGGGGATGGGGAGCGGAAACCCAATGAAGGTAAGCGCTGGGCGGCTTCCCGGCGGGCGGGGACAGCCGGGGGCTGGGGGGAAGGAGCCCCCGGAGCCGCCGATGGCCAACACCGCCACCTCCCGGGGAGCGGGACCGGGGGCTGCCGGCGGGAGGCGCCGCCGCCATCAACCCCTTGGTGGCGGCCGCAGCGCCCCCGCCCCACGCCGCGGGCCCGGGCCGGGCCGCGGGGCCGGGGGTGGCCGTGAGGCCGGGCGCCGGGGCGGCCGCGGTGCCAGGGCGGGCAGCAGGGCTGGCCCAGCCCGCCCCTGGCTTACCGCAACTCAGAGTGAAACTGCGTGCGTGCGCCGGTGCACATACGCACGCTCATTTATATATATATATATATATATATATATATATATATATATATATCTACACACACACGGGCGCGCACAAAGAGCTGAGTAGTGGCACGCAGTTTGCTGGGGATTCGCCACAGTGCTGTAGGAAGGGATTTGTCAAATTTTGTTGCCCGCCTCTTTCCCAGCGGTGCTGGTGATGCCCGGCTGGGTGACCAGGGCTGATCCGTGAACAAAGGCCGAAGCAGCCCCCAGATGGTAGGTCTCTGAGGAAGAGAAGGAGAAAGGGGCAGTTCAGGATGATTTTCTGGGCTCATGCCTCCCAGCAGTCACAGGTATCCCTGTAGTTAGGAGATTACTAAGCGCTGTCAAGAGCCAGGCTTGAAAAATACACCTTTTTATTCTGGTTAGGGCTGGCAGACTTTGCAGATTCAGGGAATGGCACTCTAGGGTTCTGTTAGGTTCTGATGGGTTCCAGTTATTGGTTCCTGGTTGTCCAGTATGGACAGGACCATTGCCTGGTGGGGAAACAAGGTGGTATCTCTGCAGCTGCTGTGATCTTGTGTCTTTCCGGTTGCCCAAAGGCCAGCATGTGACAGTGTCCCCTGCCTCATTGGTTCATGCAAGTAAATGTAGACCAGAAGGCAGCCAGCCCCTGGGTTAGTCAGAGATATCTCCTGCAAGCTCCCTGTTTAGTGAAGCGCTGTGCGTGTCAGGAGGTTGGCTTCTGTCCGCAGTCCTCAGTTCAGCAGTGGGATAAAAGGGCTGTGGACTTTGAAACCTTCAGGCTGAGGTGATCATCATATGCTTTAAGACCATCCTGACCGTGTTTTCCTTACCTGTATAGCAGAGCAGATCACTTGTTGCATGGCAGGGTCTGGCAGATGCCTTGCAGGGTCCCCACGGGCTGTGACCTTCAGCGTTATTCCAGCCAGAGGTCAGCAGAGGGCTCCAGCACTGTGGGCCCAGATTGGCTTTTTTTTTTCGTAGCAGTCAGTTTCAATTTCTGTAACTTTATTGGTGTGACAGACTCCATGTGTGTTGCCAGAGGTTTGTGGCAGGCTCTGCTTGGGATAGGTGTCCATTTTGTGCTGGCAAATTTTCTGATTTGCTGGTGGACTGCCTCCTGTTGCGCTTGACCCTTGCTCCTGCTGAAGTCAACAGAAGAAGGTTCAGTGACTCCAGAGGGATCAAGATGGAGCCTGCTGTGAGGCTTATTTTGGTAACCAGTTCTCTGCTGTTGGTAGAAAAGAGCTAGTGTCCTCATCTGTGCCATTTTTTGTGCCCAACAAATCCCTCCTGGGGAGGGAAAGAATCAAACAGAATTAACTTCTGTCACAAGAAGGTTGATGGGATTGCAGGAGAAGCTGGTCTGGCAGTGTAAGTGGTGAGACTTCAGTGTTATTGTCTGGTGCTATTTCAGGTTCTGCAGTGTAGATACTTCTGTTAAATAAAAGTCAGGACTCCTGGCTCTACTTCTGTCCTGTGGTTCGAACTTAGAAGTCTTCTCTCTATACCTCAGTTTTTCCTCTGTGAAGAGGAGATCACGATGGGCCTCTGTTACCCAAGGATGGTCCTGTAGTTCCTTCCTCTGAAGCTCTTAGGGGCTTGGGCTGAAAGGTGGGTTTGTGTCTTTGGCCATTTTATGCTTTCTCTGTGATGTCAAACTGTGACAGGTTTTTATTTGGGATGGACTTACTCTGGTTGGAGACTGTTATTTTAGCTTCAGCCCCTACCCTTTTGAGCTCAAGAGAGGCTTCCACATGTTTTGTGGCACAGGAAGTTGTAGAGGAGTCAGACAAACACTCTTTTGTTTCACAGGAAAAGATTTTCTGGTATAAATAAAGGAAACCACCATCACTTGTGGCTGCACTTTTATTTTCAAAATAACAGTGTGTTTGTATTGCTGCTAAGCTGTTGATGGGGAGAGAGGCAAAATGATCAGAGACTTCTCCTTTTCTAGTCCAGCATGGTCTCACTCAACTGCTCCAAATTTGAACTTAAACCCTGCTTTGAAGAGTTAGTGTGGGTCCTGTCTGTGTTTTAACCTTCCTTCCACCTCCATTCACAACAAAGAACCTCTGACTCAAATCTGGAGGTGTTTTGCAGGGTAGGAGTGTGATTTAATTGTGGGATTAGCATCTAATGTGGGCTGAAGCCCAGATTGCAGGAAGGGAGCAGACCTAGTGGTGTTAGTCCTTCAGTGACCTTCCTGTGCTTCCCCATGAAGGAGACCTTCTTCCATTTGTGACACAACCAGTGGAAAGGAAGCGCAGGCAGAATCAGCAAAGTGTGCAGTATGCCTCCCAGTACATAGGAGTAAGTGTAGGTATGGTAGAAGGGGCAGGGCTTTGCTTTGAGGTTGACTGTACCTCAGTCACGTGCTCTGGTTTGGTTTGGGTGGTAACTGTGCAAATGAACTATGGAGTGTTGTGCAGTCTCCATGTGAATGCTCTGTGTCCAGCAAAATAAGGCAATGTGCCTTTTGTGGCAGGATTTTCTGACTGGCAGCTAGGGAAAGATTCCCTGGTTCCTTTTCAGAGGCTGATTCAGTCTTTGGAAAACCATCATGTGTTAAAGTAAATGTAGAAACTCCCAAATTCTTCATGTGAACAATTTAGTCCTGTCAAATCTTTCAGATCTCAAGTATTGTTGTCAGGGTGTAGCTGTGAAAGTAAAGGCCCTGTAAGAAGTTGAATAGGGTGTTCTGGGGCCTGTTCTGTAGTCTGGTTTCTCTGGTGTAATCCAAATGCCTGGATAAGGCAATATTTAGGAAAGCATGAGAGATGCCGGTCAGTTTCACTACACTTTTCTACTCTTGTTTTCTGCCTCCTTTATGCCTCAGACTGGTGTGGCGAGCAGCATTTGATCTGCATAGGTAACTGCTGCTTTCCCTCCCTCTTACTTTCTGTCCCTCCCCTTGACGTAGGTTTGTAAGCATTTTGATCCTGAACTATGTCTTTACTGCCAGAGTTCTCAGATCCTGTGTCTGGCACAGTGTGAATAATCAACAGTGCAGTTCAGCGACTATCTCTGTGCCCGCAGAATTTCCCACGAATTAAATTGTTCAACTTGTTGGAACATAAGCGGTGACTGAGGTCACTCCAAAGGGAAACAAGAAGAAGGAGGAGAAGGAGGCAGTCCCAGACAAGATAGGAGAACAGACAGGAGACATACGGCAGTTACGGGAGGAGGGAAGAGGAAGGGAAGGAACAAGGAACAGAAACGTTGTCTTCTAGACAAGGAATACCAACAAGCAGTCCATGCCTGCCAGGCTACATTTCCCTTTCACAAGCCACTTTCTCTTTTAATAGCTGCTCACGCTCTCTGACACTTCAGACTCCTTGGAGGGAAGCTCCTCCCCTCTTGTACCCGCTCTCAGCACTTCAGCACTATGGCACTGTCAGCCCCGCATGACCTAGAATTAACTTTCAACAATTAACTGCGGGCTGTGCGCTCCAAGCCCTGCAGCTTTTGCATTTTTGTGGCAAAGTAACCTTTATGCCAGTTTGTCACAAGTTCAGGGCACTTTAGAAGCGCTTACTGGAGACCATTATTTTCCATGATGCAAGCAGTTTGCTCTTATCACTCTGAGTTATCAACCTTGGTGCTGGAGGACTCTGCATACTGTACAGGTGGATCATTATAGTGCATAACAGCATGGGGCAGGTACTATCTCCTTGTGCATATTCTTACCCTCTGCTTCATGTGAGACATCCTCTGTTGCCAGTGTGGTGCTAGAGCTGGGAGGCCTGGAGGGCTCCAGGTACTCACTGTTTGCAGTACTATACTAGCACCTGGGGTTTGTGTGTGTACTTATCTATACTATCTCTCATCTCTTTAAATCTCTCCAACCCTTGACCAAGCAGCAAAATGAAGCTTTGGCAAGAGACTGGGAAACATTGAGAAATACTTGTGAAATCAGTGCAGATCGCAAGCGGTTAGTGTTTGCTCCATTTGTAGGGAAGGCATGGGATAATGGCAGATCCACCCTGTTCCCCCTCCCACACTGTCTCATTGTGGTTCAGTAGCCAAATATATAGTCTGGTTAATCCTGGGGGTGCTGTGAGCCTACTTTGAATCTTTCAGTGGGTGGCTTGGTTCCTCGGTCTGGGAAAGTGGTCAGTGTGGAGACACAGAGGCTGTGACTTGTAGTGGATGCTGTCATGGTTCCCTGGTGGCCTCCTGAGGTGGATGTTCTGCATGGCCAAAGGAGGTAGATGACAGGAAGGGTGAAGATGCATAGCTCCATGGTTCAGAGCCTCTGCTTGCTCTTAGGAGTGTCTGTGCACTGAGGTCTGTACAAAGGATGCTTCTGGCTTTAAAACCACTGGGGCATCCACTGACTGTTTTGAAAAGGAGTAAAGGGCAAACCAGTGAAGGGCCTTAGTCCAGAGTGTAGATTATCTGCTGCAGCTTCAGGGTTTTTTTGGCTGAGCTGATACTCTTAGTGGCTGCACACCAGCAGTATGGGGAATAGCAGAGAAGAGGTTTGGGACAGAATCACCTGTGGCATGCATCATGGTACAAGGAAGGCAGTGAGCTCTCTTGTCCATCTTGCCCTTAAGCAGCTGTAGGAGGAGATTGTCTTTTTCCCTTCCCACTTGATGTGTGTGTATGTAGAGCCCAGAGAATGGATTTAGGCCTGCAAGACTGGTAGTGAAGAGCATAGGGTAGTTGTGTTGCAACTGTCTGGCTCACTTTAAGGGGTGAAGCCCTAGACATTCTTGAGCTAAGTTTGCATTAACTTATTCCCTCCATTCCTCTTTTAGTTATCAAATTCCTGGAAGTCTACGAGCGCAGCTTCTGCAGGACTATTGAGACCCTGGTGGACATTTTCCAGGAGTACCCTGATGAGGTGGAGTACATATTCAAGCCATCCTGTGTGCCTCTGATGAGATGTGCGGGTTGCTGCGGCGATGAGGGCCTAGAATGTGTCCCTGTGGATGTGTACAACGTCACAATGGAGGTGAGGGTCCAGCTTGCAATCTGCCATGCTTGGTTGGAAGGAAGCAAGACAGCCATCACAGCCACCCCAAGCCCCAGCTCCCAGCTAATTCAGAGGAAGTGCAACCTACCCCAGGGACCCTTTCTTCTGACCCTGGTGCTCTGTTACACCACACAGGGTTAAAAGATGAGTTGCCTGTGTCTATTTAAGGCTAAGAGGAGAGTCTGTGTTTTGGCTCCTGCCCAAATACAGTAGGTAGGAGCATGCAAAGAAGAGTTTCTGCAAAGGAGCACTTTGTGCTTAGAGAATGTAGAGGAGCATTTCTGATGGTGTTATCTCCCAGTTTCTAAAGAAGATACTCCTTGGACCCTTGCACCACCTCTAACTCTACACACAGCTGTTGTTCTGAAGGCAGCTGAGTAGGGCAAAAGGGGAGAACCTGTCAGTTCTCTCTCCTGAAGGGCATGTGAGGTCAACCTGTACCAACAGAGCAGGGAATTTGGGTCTTTAGCTATCCTGCCACAGCAAGGGTTAAAGGGGATCTATGAAACAAACTGTTCTATGTCAGCTGGAAAAGCCTTTCTGCCTCTGGGCTCTTCCTCCTTTGTTTGGAGACTGCTGAAGGTGGCCATGATAGCAAAGGCTGGGCCTTGGGGGAGAGATTCAAATTGCTTTAGAGAGCTTAGTTATTGCCCTTGTCTGTGAAACTGGATCCCAGCTCTTGTCCAAAATTGTGTTGGTGTCCATTACCCATAACCTATAGCTCCCTCACCTACTTTTGTCCCTTAGCCTCTTGAATGGCCACTGTAAATATTGCTGTGAATTTTTAATATAAATGAGAGATGTTCAGTGCTAAGTGATTAACCAGCAGGTCCTTTTACTTGAATTTTGGGCTGTGTTTGAACTGTGTTGGAGAACCTGCCTGTGCCCTCTCATGGTTCCCCATACTGCTTTTCCACTTGCAGGCTCCAGCCATACTAGCTAGGGATGGTTTTCTTCCTACCATTCCTTGCTGAATTACAGTTCTTGACTGATATGCCTGCATGCCTGTAAAGGGTCAGAGGCAATAAAGCGGATCTCTAGAGCTAATTTTCCAGCCATGTTCTGGGTTAAGAGAATGTGACAGTATTCCATAGATTCTAAATAACTTTCCTGGATATACCTGGGGCTGGGGTCTGGGTTTTGCAGGACTCTTTTAAACACAGATCTCCAGATTTGTTTTGTGTGTCAAGTTACTGAGAGAGTGAGATGTCAGCTGGGAAGGAATGGTGACTTAAGGAAAAGGATTTGGAATTTTCATTTGAGACCTTTGTGTGAGACTGAAGCATGGCTTCTGTGCAAGCAGACTGGATGTCCATCATCAGCCAGGGAGGGCTCATTGAGGACCTTGCTGTGGGGTACACCCTCTCCCATGCCTGTCTCCAAGGCAGTCCACCAGTGCTGGCACTGGGCATGCACGAGCAAACAGAGCTTTGGCACAAGTCTGGTGTTGCCGCTCGCTGGTGATCAAAGGCCTTCCCTGACTGGGAGAACGGGGCCTCAGAACCTCAGAGCTAGCTCGAACTCTGCCCTGCTCTTCCCAGGAGCACCTGGGGTATGAGTGCTTTGCTGCACAGCAGCCTGATTTGGGGCTGTGAACATGAAGAGTGAACAGGCAGTGACCCTTTCTGTTTCTTTCATTCCAGATCATGAGAATTAAACCCCATCAGAGTCAGCACATATCACACATGAGCTTCTTACAGCACAGTAAATGTGACTGCAGGTGAGAATGGAGCAGCACTGTCTCCTCTTGCAATAAACTTACTCTGAACCTTTCTTTTTTTCTGCCGTTGGGTTGGGACTCTTGTTCAGACGCTTCTGCAGCCTTCTTGGTTGGTCTGCAGTGGGACGGCTAAGCCTGGGAAAAGAAGCCCTCTGCTGTCAGGGCTCTTCCATCTCTAGCTATCGCAGGTGGACAGTGCTAGCCTGCATCCTGGGATCTTTTGGCCCTAGCTACCAGCAAGGGTCAACAGGATAGCAAAACCACTTTGAGTCGGGCCCCTTAACCAGTGCCAAGGGCATCCTGCAATGCTGCCTGTACATGACCTTCCCTGGACTTGGTGGGAACTGGGGATAATACCAGAAGTATATGTGATAAGCTCTCTTCTAATGAGGCTTTTGTTCTGTCTTCCCCCACAGACCAAAGAAAGATGTCAAAAACAAACAAGAAAAGTAAGTGACAAGCTTTTCCTCCTTTCTCTTTTGGTGGTTGGTTGGCATTTCCTCTCCCCACTGCCCCTTGCCCTTTTCTTTGGTTGGATATACTCACTTTAAGAAGGAAATGGCATATGGTACTGCATGGGGCGATGCTCTGAATCCATTCCAGGTGGTCACAGAAACCCGCATCTGATGGTCCTTCCTTCATACCCCAGACATGGACCTTGCATGACCCATGGCCATGGCAGTCATTCCTAATGCTTTTTCCTGAGTCAGGGAAGTCCTGTCATGTCTGTCCTGCTGGAATGGATTCAAGGTGCAGCCCCTGTTCTCCCCTTCCCTCTTCCTGGGGTGTTTCTGGTTACTGCAAATTGCTGGCTTTCTTCTATTATTAATTTTTTTCTTGCTGCTTGAGTGAGTACTTGCTGGCTTCTTTCACAGCAGCTTTGGTAGAGCTCTGCTGGCTACAGGGAGAGGTGGAAGTAGAGGCCTGGTGGAGGCAGGACTATTGCCATGCAGGACGTGACACTGGTTTTGTTTGGGTGGGGACCTGGGAGGGTGTAAAGGGAGGTGGATGTCCTAGCTGGGTCTCGGTGAAGGCTTTCCTGAGGGGTTTTTGAATCTGATGAGTTTGCTTTAGTGGCCTGAAGGAGGTTAAGTCACAACCTTCCCTTTTCTTCCTCTCCAAAGTAAAAAGGTTGTGGAAAGTAGAAAAATAAGCTCTAATCCTGCAGAAGTTGCAGAGATGAGCATAAAATACAAAACAACATTGAAAAGAAAGATCTCTCTGAGCGAGAGGATCAGCTGGACTGTGCATGGCTGGGAAAGCAGCTCTGCCATTTAGAGGTGCGGAGTTGGAGAGGAAGGAGTGAATATTTGGAGATGAGGCTGAATCTGAGACCGAGGGAGCAAACCAGGAGAGAGAGAGCTTTTTTCACCCCTCTCCTGGTGGTTGTATGTTTCTAGCTGCCTTCCAGCCTCTCCTCCTCCCCCTGGAAATCTGCTCCTGGCTGCATCAGACTGCGTGCAGCCAACAGTCCTCTCTGCACAGGGCCGTGTCGGGGACAGTCGGTCTGTGTGGCTCTGTAGTTTGAAGGTGTGTGAGAGTTTGGTCTGTATGAGCTCTGGTGAGGATGGGGTGTGGGTGTAGCAGCCAGCTCAGACTGTGTTGCATTCACTTTTCCTCTTCTAACAGCACCTTGCCTGCTCATTGCTGGTTCTGCACTCCCCAGGGAAGGAAGGGAAGGGAGGGGAGAGACTGGTGTGCTTTGATTTGTGCCGGATTGAAAGTCTTGTTATATTGGTACCCCTCTCCTCCCTTCAGGTTGATTTTCTTCCCCTCACCGTCTCCCTGTGACTCCTGCCTGACATGTAGGGCAGAGCTGGGATTGAGCTGATGCTCTGACACTCGTTCCAGTGAGACGACTTGAACAGGGCCTAGGAGACACCCATGGTGCTTTCTCTTCTGTCCCTCCAATTCCCTTTGACAGCTCTCTCCCGAGGTGGGCTGCACCAGGGAACGAGGGAGCCTTTGCTGAACTGCCTCAGAGCTGGGACTCATTTGCCTGACAAGCCCTGGTGCTTTGCCTAGGGCCTTCTCCTTGCATGTCTCTCCCTTGCTCCTGTGCTAATGTGGCTCAAGGAGCAGTACAGGCTCCAGCCTCCCTCGCTCCCTGTGCTCTCAATGGCCCACAGAGATCCATGGTTAGTGTCCAGGACTGCATATCCTAGCCCCTGCCTGCTCAGCCCCTGCCCAGGAATCAGAGGCAACTGGTGAATTTTTCAGAATGGAGTCAGCACCTTGGCTCCATCTGCTTGTCTGTCTGGCAGGTCCATGTGGACAGTGACAGGAGAGAAAGGAGGGAAGAACTGAAATCTGCTTGCTGATTATCTCCTGGGTAAAATAACTAGGTCAGGCCATCCTCTTCCCCCTCTTTACTCTTCAGTACTCAGAATAGAGGCTGCCAGAGGAGATGGTATGAACATCCAAGTAAGGTCTCCTGGACTCCTCTGAACCACAGGCAGGAGGTGAGGTGGATAAGCAAAGCCTTCAGGTTGGATAGCTCCTCAGAGATCAGATCTCTTCCTTTGTCTGTGGAGTGCTCCTGTCCCAAGGCGGGATTGCCACCCACCCTGCAGCAGAGCTATTGGAGCTCAGCTGCCCCCTCCTAGGCCCAGTACTGTGCAGTGCATCAGGTCAGAGTGGTTTCCTCTTCCTTGAAGAGAGCCCTTTCACTCAGGTTGCCTTTTGTCAGTCGTTGTGCACCTGTGCTTGTCGCCTGGAATGATTGTCTGCACTCACCGCGGTGGCGTGATGCTTTCACAAAGCTTTCTGTTCCTTCCCCCTCTCACCCCTGCCCCTTTCCCTCTGCCCCTCTCTGGAGGGGGCAGGTGCCCCTCTGAGGCTCCAGCAGATCCGCCTCTGCTCGCAGCAGCCTTGCAGGAGGTGGTCTCTGCTGCGTTCCCTGGTGTTGGCTTGGCTGTGGGCAGGCTGGTTGCAGAGCTGACAGGAGCGCCGGAGCCGGTGAATGTGCGTGCAAGATGGAGATCTGTGCTTCAGCCCTGGGATTTACCCTCCAGTCCTGCAGTCCTGCCTCATGTGCTTCTCCCCTCCCAGCAAGGCACATGGCTGTATTTTTTTTTCCCTTCTTCCTTGCATTTTCTTCCGTTTTCTCTCTATTTCTCCCTTTCTTTCCCCCTCTCTCTCTTTCTCTTTTTTTTTTTTTTTTGTTTTTCTTCCAGAAAATCAAAACGAGGAAGGGGGAAGGGTCAAAAGAGAAAGCGCAAGAAAGGCCGGTACAAACCACTCAGCTTGTACGTTTGTGTCCTCTGCTTGTAGACTCTCTTCCCTCCCTCTCCCCAAAGCAATCTGCCTGCTTGCTGCTCGCTCAAATCTCACCCTCCCCTCCCAGTCACTGGTGGGCTGCAGATCCTGCAGGGGCAGCACTCGTGGTGGCACTGCTCTGGCACTAAGGCTATCTCAGGGAAAGGTGGCTTTAGCTTGCTTGGCTCTCTACTCATCAGTAGTGACCATTGTCCCAAGGCACAAGAGTGTGGTGGGCGGACGAGAACCCTGCACCTCTTCACGCCTTCTGGTTGTAACTCTGTCATCTGCTTTCCACCACTTGTCTCGTGTCCTCACTGCTATGGTGACTGGTGACAGGCAGGCTGGCATCTGCCATGCATGTGTGTGTGTGTGTGTGTGTGCGTGTACACATGTGCGTGCGTGTCTGGTGGAGTCACAGGTGGAGAGGAGAGGTGGGACAGTGGGAAGCCAGAGAGGGGGTGCTGGGGAGCCAGGGGTGGCCTCTCTGTTTTGTTTTTTTTTTCTTTCTTTCTGCTGGATTTGGTGGCTTGTCTCTCTCTGTCTCTTTCGCTCTGCCTCTCTCATGGTGGTTCACAAAATTCTGCATTGTAAATTCATGGCCCCTCCGTAGGAGACTCCTAGGTGGTGAGGTTGGGATGGGGCTTACAGAAAGGACGGCAGTGCCAGCTGCAGGGTCAGCATGTGGTGCTGGAGCCCAGCTGCTTTCCAGGGGAGGAGAGACCCTGTGTATTTAACTCGTTTAGCCGCTGGCCTCTTTCTACTCCAATAGTCCACTTCAGAGAATTCATTTCACTTATGTGTCAATAGCTGGCCGGGACTTCTCACCTTCCCATCCTTGCTTTCCCCTTCTTCCTCCCTCTGGCCTGAGCCAATGGATCCAATGCAGCATTTGTGAATACTGTGCAGAAGGCCTGTTTCCTTTCTCTGCGCTAATGCAAGGGGTTGCTGTCCTGGGGCTGTTGAGGTGCTGCTGGAAAATCCATCAGCCCATGGCACTCCAGTTGGCAGCATGGGGGCTGCGGGAGGGGGCAAGGGGATTGCTTTGATGTTCAGGGTGTTGCATGTGTATTTTCTTTCTGCTGAAGCGCTGTAGCTTAGACATCTTTCCTTTTGCCTTTTTGCAGTCACTGTGAGCCTTGCTCAGAGAGGAGAAAGCACTTGTTTGTACAAGATCCCCAGACCTGTAAATGTTCCTGCAAATTCACAGACTCACGTTGCAAGTCGAGGCAGCTTGAGTTAAACGAGCGCACTTGCAGGTTTGTGTCCTGAAGGATGAAACACACAAAGAGAAAGAGAGAGAAAGAGAAAGAGGGGGGGAGCTTGCTTCCTGCTGACTTCTGGCACCAGTGCTATTTGATTATTTCTTTTCTCTGTCCTACGTGGGCCAGAGAGCAGAGAGTCTGACTGGGGTGAGGACAGAGTTTCCCTGTGTCAGAGGGCAGCTGTTTGTTTCAGGTGTGCTCTCAGGACTTGGATGGGGATGGCTCCCAGAGACAGGCCCTTTGTATCTCGGGTATTCTTTACCGTAGAATAGCATAATGGAGTTCATGTTGCTGAGCTAGGCAGGGGAGGGTCTGTATCCCTCTGTACCTTACCTGTATGCAACTCTGAGCCTACTGTTGGACAAAGACAAATCCTTAACTGACTAGGATTTGACCACCCCTGTCTTCCAAGCCCATTTTCCTTGGCTTGTAGATGCTCTGCTGTGTGCAAAATGAGGAAAGCCATTACGAGCCTCCCTCAAGGCTGAGCCTACATTCTCCTTTGCCTCTGTTCTTCTAAAGGCCAGGGAGAGCACTCTGTGTTTTTGTACTGTGCTCACAGTTCCCTGTCCATGTCCTGTCCAGAATTGTGGTTTGAGAGGCTGCAGTCAGGACTGTGAATGGAATACAGCAGGTTTAAGTCTGACCCTGGGCGAAGGCAGAGGTGCCTGTTTCAGATGTGAGGTGGGAGACATAAAGGCACTGTGGGGTTAGTGTTTGTTCAGAGATCCATGTTGTGCATGTGTCATCTGAGTCTGTCACACACCATCTGTGGCACAGACATGTAAAGAAACCGATTCCTGGCTCTCACCTGAGCACTTTGGTGAACTCAGTGGGGTGTCTTGACTCGCACAAGCTACGTGTGCACCTCTGGTGTGGGATCATCCTACCTGTGTAGAGGGAGACATAGAAATGGGGTCACTAATGAGCACTTGGCTGTGACTCTGAACTTGGATCCCCTTCACAGAGATCTAGGAGATTGTTCCTGTTCCTGCAGAATTGCAGTGGCAGTGGCTCAAGGGAAGAATACAAGGGAGAGGGATCCAGGGTCCTCTGTGGCTCTGTCTTGAAAAGAGGAGACATCCATTGACTAGGTGGCTAAGGCTGTTACAAGTAGCAAATGCTTTATTTGGGTGTGAAAATGCATTGTGTCCAAGCCAGAGAGGCATTGGCACTGCCAGCGTGATGGGAACTGCTCTGTATACAGAGAATTTTTCTGGGGTGCTGTAATTTCAGTGGGAAATAATGGATGGAGGGGCCATAATAGAGAGACTTTCAGAGTTGCACTTCTCCTAGCAAGTAAAACCAGACTTAGTCTTGGCCTTTTCCCCCTGTTCCTTTTCCCAAAGTCCAGAGTAACTCATAATTACCCCACAGAGTTTGAAGGGTGAGAAATAGTAATAAATACAATGAGAAACAAAAAACCAAAGAAATCATGGTAGCAGAAGGGGTTTGCTAGTTTCTCTTACTAGTCCCTCTCTATGATGGGATAATTGGCACTAAGGGAGGTTTCCAGAGGCGATGTGTTGGCCTGAAAAGTGGGAAGGAGTCATAGGAGTGGTTAGCTTATCAATTTCCAGATAAAAAGCTAGTTAAGCTTAAGTTCCTTTTGCTCTTTCTTGTAGAATTAGTATTGGGACCTGCAGGGGAGGGTAAATTCTCATTTCTCCCGCTGCTTCTTCAGGCCACTGCTGTTCTCTAGTGCTAACCCCAACTCACAGTGTCTAGTGGAATGAAAAGCACTTACTTTTCACCTTCTTGCCTGCATGGGGCCTTGTTGTCTGCACTGCTTCCAGCCCAAACAAGAGGCTAGGTGGAGAGCTGAGGGTGTGTCTCTGCATGCACTGCTTAGCCTTGTTTTTCTGTGTTCGTGTGTATTTGTGTGTATGGTGTGCAAAGATGCAAACAAGACACTCAGCTTATCTGTGAGAAGCCACTGATTCTGCTCAAAAATCTTGTTTGAATATCCCCCCTGCTCTGTCTAGGTGAGCCTGGGGGAATAGAATTCATTGACTCATTTGTGGGGTCGAGATTCTCAGCTGATTTGCCCCATCTGCACAGCACTTCACCCCACCAGTGACGTCATGCCATGTCTTAACACCATGTGCTCTTAAACACATTAGTCACCACCCTTCCTTCCCTTCCCTGCCCTAGCTGCACCCCCATCACAAACATTAACCCCTGTTCTGTTCTCTTTTCTTCTTTCCTTCTCCTCTTCGACAGATGTGAAAAACCGAGACGGTGAGCAGCGGAAAAGAAGGGGAAACAGCCCTGTTTCTGGAGCCTGATTTCTCGCCTGGACAGAATAAAACAAACAAAACACTAATCCAAATGAACCCTAAAAATGAAGGATCGGTAGAGCACAGCACTTTCAGTACGGACGATGGACTCCGGAAGGAACATTCCCCAAGGCACCCGCCGCACAGAATTCACCTTTGGGTTTTGAACTGTTTTATTTTATTTTTCTTTTTATGCTGCTAAATAACAGAGCCAGGAAGACTTATAGGGGTGTATTTGATGGGTTTTCCCATGCATACATATATATGTGTGTATACATGCATATACATATATATATATGTATATATATTTTAACCACATCTATATATACATATATGTATATCTTAACCACACACACACACACACATATATATATAATATATATATATATATATACTGATTATTTTTTTTAACATTGCTAATGTTATTGGTGTCTTCACTGGATAATACTCGACTGCTGTGGACACAAGCGGGCTACTTGGGGCATAAGAAACAAGCTAAGACTGGACTTGAGTAGAAGCGCTGGGTGTAAAGTTCTTAACTCCAACTGACTTGTGCGGCCTCCGCTGTTTCTCTGTAGAGTGTGCTGTACCACAAACCACCTTCTCCTTGCCTGGGACAGGGAGGAGAGGTGATGGAGAGGATGGGCAGGGAGTTCCAAAGAGCGGCATCCTAGGGTGCGATGGGTCAAAGGCCAAGGAAATGGCCATCTCCGTGATCAAGGATTCCTCCTCCCCTCTCTTCCCCCAACCTTCGCCCTTACTCGTCTCATAACCTGCCTGCCTTGCCGGGACATGGGATGTCAGTGTACATTTTGCGTTGACTTTATTCGCTGTAGAACCTTTGCCAGAGAGTCATGCTGGCTTCACTTAAGGATGGTGGGCAGCTGATGCGCACTGACTTTCTGTTCAAGGAATTATCACAGGAGTCTAGATTTCCCGCCCTTGGTGGCTGCAGAAGGACACAAGGTCTACAGTGTGCTGAAGCAAGAATGGGGACCGGTGCATAGCCACACAGTTGTTCAGCACTGTCTGCTTTCTTCATGCACAGAGCTGCCACTCAAGAGCATCCAAGATGCTTATGGAACATTTCTGGAAAGGGATATTAATCAGAAGTATATACACAGTAGTGGGGGTGTGTGTGTATGTATGTGAATGTATGCATTTGTGTGTATGAATGTATGTATGTATGTATGTGTTTTTCTCTCTTTTTTATATATATATATTTATTTTTATACATATATATATATAAAAAAATAATATATATGTATGCCAAGATTGAAGGGGGGAGAAAAGAAAGCAACTTTTGCTGCCTTCAGTTTGCGTGCCCAGTGTGAACG